AAGAAGAAGAAAAAGAAGAACAAGAACAAGAACAAGAAGAACAAGAAGAAGAAGAAGAACAAGAAAGTAAGTAAGCAAAATCTGAAAAGAGGAGTCATATGTACGAGTTCGAGGGACAGTTGTTAAGAAGCTCTATCTTCCATCTATTAATCCATTTCTAGGAAGATGTCCTGGACCTCATAACACGGAACTGCCTCAATAAAGAATGGCCTCGGTGCGGTGCCGACACAAAAGACCGACCGGCACAGCTGCGTATACGTATTTCCTACAATTTTTAATTTAATATCAAAATGATATTAGGAAATTAGGATCAAACGTTCTGCATTTTCGCGACTTCGACGCTCGTTTTTTTTCACTTGCTTCATTCATTCTGTGAGTCTCAGAGTGATCGGTCGGCTTCAATCTAGCCTATCATACCATGAGTAATACAGTGTCCCTCGTTACCCAAGTAGAATCAAAGTTCCCATTTAGAACTTTCAAACACTGAGCTACTGCTTGGGCAAAGCACCCTCGGTCTTATGAATAAATATTTGAACGGATTTGCAACCTTTTCTTCAGAAGTAGTTTATAGTTCCTTTCACCCCTACCCTTTACTCAACTGGATAAATACAAACACAAAAGCATTGATACCCTTAAGCCGCCTCATTATACAAACATCACTTTACAAGTTGAGGATCTATTCTTCGTCCAACAAAGAACTATTTACCTCGCACCTGGGTAAAAAGCAAACATCATGAAATGTTTCCAATTCTTAATAGATCGCTAGATGAGTCTGCAGGGCAACAGAGGTTACAGTGGAACGCGTGACAACATAAAACGGATTAAAAAATAACGTTTTTTTCGTTACGTAAGTATTCATTTTCTGGTATTTATGAAAAGGCCGTGTATGTCTGTGTTGACTCGCAGGCGAACGAACTCAAAGGCTCTCCTGGCTGAGTGAGGCAATTGAGATTGTTCAAAACAAAATGACGAAGTTATTCATGGTGTTTGTCTSTGCTATGGTCGCTTGGTCGACGATAGAGGTTTCTTCAAGCAAAACATCGCGAGGACTAAGAGAACTACGCTCGTCCAGCATCAAGTCACCAGTCGTAATCGGTAAAGCGAGCAAATTGCGTTTTATTATTTTTTCCGATGCCTGTATAACTAATTGTGATTATAGATAATTTCCAACACATTACTCTTCTTTTTTTCCTCCGTAAATTTCTAATAAAAAAAACTGGACTCTGAATTGAACTAAATGACTTCCGCTTACTTAGTGGTTGTCGCAACCACCACCAACATTCTTTCCAAAAGACTACCCTCACCCGGACGATCACACTTCACAACCAAAAAGAAAATACTCTATAATCGATCGATAATTACGATGACGATGCATAATGCATATGTCATCATGGTCTGTTAAGGATAATTCGTTGTTTTCATAGAAGTTGGGTGGTTCAGGATTGGTTCAGTGATAGAAATGTGGTGCTGGGATCCGAAAACCTTGACCCTATCCAAGACAAGAATATCTTGAACAAACATACCCTGTTGAAGACATAACCGTTATGTAAATTAAAACACTTTTTGGCGGTGGCCTTCATAAAACGCCGGCACGACTACGCAAAAATTCGTCTCACGATTAGCTGGATTGCCGGAGCAACCGTCGCGTGAGGGCATGTCACACAATGTTTCTCTCCCAGGAGGCTTCCATCTAACATCATGCTATTTAAGAATTGAAAACGCTAGAAAGTATTAACCTCAAGACTGATGATTCTAGTCTGTTCAAGACAATATATTGGAATAATGGCTCAAATGTCGATGTCGTTTTTAAAATCAAAATCTCGAAAAACAATACCCTATACAGCGGAGCAAAAAAGATGCCCCCCAAAAATTCATTTTTTACTTTCATGAATAATTCAAATTTATTTATGTTTAATGATTTTAATGTTTTCCCCTTTTAAACCCATTAGTTCCCGGTGCAGGAGGTAGCCAACTGGAAGCAAAGCTCAACAAACCTTCAACACTACATTGGTACTGTCACAGAACGTCATCCACCTTCTTTACGTTATGGTTACAGAAAAGTTCTCTTCTTCCGTGGGCCATAGATTGTTGGGTGGACAACATGAGGTAAGCCAACTCAGCGACAGGCAGACAAATGATGCTTCGTTACTGCACCATCAGTGGCCAAGATCTCGAGGTCTCTCAAGGAAAAGTGGCTAGGCAGTTTTGAGAAGGATGATATAGACACAATAACATGGGTAAAACAAATGGCAAGGTTCTTTTGACAAGAATCCCTTATTATTTATGAAATAAATAAATAACTTTTTTGTCCTTTTTAGACTCGTGTATGACAAAGCAACAAACACCGTGCACAATGCGCCTGGTGTAGAGACAAGAGTACCAAGATTTGGCCAAACCAATACCATAGAATACCTGGACACAAATAACCTGATTGAGTACTTCAAGCCCATGGTTGAGGCGCTTGTCTCTTGGGGTTACCAGCGAGGTATATCGGTCAGAGCGGCTCCTTATGACTTTCGATACGTACCAGGTAACTTTGAAGGTCCAACGAAAGAGTACATTGCGCCTTCGCGTAAAATTGGCGGGAATTTGTAAACGCGATCACGTTTCATTTAGGCAAATTAAAACGGGCGCCTCGATCCAGTTAAGGCATACATCATTCGTTGGGAGCTCTAGAGCAACAGATAACGATGAATCCACAGTACGTAAGAGTGGAAAAATCGGCGGGAAAATTTGTGGGTGCGCGCGTGTCTCGTGTATTTGTGCTTTCGCGCCAAAACGCCGTCGTTCGCCTACGCCAAAACTCTCACGTTCTTTTAGTATAAAATCGAGAGTAACCATCTTTAAGCTTATATCCGTTTTTACCATTTCTAGACTCGGCAAATGATTACTTTACAAAGCTAAGGGGTTTGATTGAAGAAGCGTACAAAGCCAACGGTAACAAGCAAGTGACTCTTCTGTCACACAGCCTGGGATGTCCATACACTCTGGTGTTTCTAAATAAACAGACTAACGAATGGAAAAATACTTATATAAAGCAATGGATTACTCTGTCAGGTAGGTGAGGAGGAAAATGGTGCTCTGTAATTTACGCGAACATTTTACATGTAGTTTTTAAACAGCACTTTACACAGGCTCCGAAATTTCGTTTGAGAAATTTGACCGAGAAGTTTGATGGGATTGAAATGTAAACAAACCTTTTTGGACTGCGAGCAAAGGGCTTGCATTTGTCTGCTTTCAATCCCATATTTTAAAAACACAGCGACATAAGCCATAGAAAACCATAATAAAGTCGTGGGAAAGGAGACGGGGCTTTAGTCTCCCTACTAGCAGCTAAAATCCTCTAAATTTTCAGTCCTTTTACTTTTGAGGGTGCTCCGCGTTCCTTAGGTGCTAGTTTTTAGTCCATGCCAAACGGTTTGATTGGGCAGTCCACCAGCAGCTCACGTGATCAGTCTGCGGCCTGCTGCTTTGGATTGTAATCCTGGACTTTGTCCTCAAATATCTGTAAACTTTGAAGTCAAATCACAGTGTATTGTCTGTTTTAATGTGTATGGAAAAAGTCACTATAGAGTGTGCAGCCGTGACTCAAAATCTCTTGGGATATGAATAACAATGAAATGGCCGCAATCTTGGTTGATCTAACAATAGAAGCTAATGAGGAATACTTCGTTATCGTCAACCAAGATGGCGGTAATGAAGTAACATGCACCTGCTCTATAGACATGCACCTAGTATTTTAGAAGCATGAATAGGAAAGGGGAACTCCAGATACCCCGCACTACCTAAATAAATCAAATCAAATTCCACCTGGTCCAATAGTGTTTCGATCTTGTCTCTTAACAATTGCTTCCTCCATTTCTGAACAGGAATCTGGGGCGGTTCTGCACAGATTCTTCGTCTTCATGCTTCCGGAGATTCATTCGGCCTCCACATAGTGAAACGGCTGACCGTTCGTGGCGAGCAGCGGTCATGTACCAGCAACAACTACATGCTACCAAGTGACGAACTGTGGTCCGCAGATGAAGTGTTGCTGAAAACCTCCACTCGATCCTACACAGTGAARGACTACGACGCTTTCTTCAAAGACATTGGTTATCCCGAAGGCTCTTTCATTAGACGAAATGTCCAAGGTCTTACCTCTCCGTTAGCCCAACACTCCCCTAATGTCACACTTTATTGTCTTCACGGATCCGGAGTAGATACCCCCGAGTCTTATACCTATGCGAAGGGAGATTTCCCGGATGGGAAACCAAGCGTTATCAATGGCGATGGTGATGGCACTGTGAACGAGCGAAGCTTAAAAGCCTGCGGAAATTTTCAACAAATGCCTAAAATTACAGTTAAAGATTATGCTGGGGTCAACCACAATGGTATCTTGAGTAGCGACCCGGCTCACAGTTTTATAAAATCAGTGTTATTTCAGTGAAAATGATAGATAACTTTTTATAAAGAGTTGCGTATTATTGAGTGATTAATTAGCTACGGATTACTTTTAGTTTGATCACATCAATGGCTAAAATCACAGTTCAAGATTACGGGGTCAAACAATGGCATATGTTGAGTAACAATCAGACTCACAGTTTTATAAAATCAGTGTACGTTCCTGTTTCAGTGAAAATGAAAGATCATGCGTTACCATTTGATGATATTAGCCATTAAAAGCATGAAATAACTTCTGATCTGGAAAATGTTTATTTTAAAGTCACCGAATCTTTCCCCTCTCCTCTCTCTCAAGGACCGTTTACACAAACGATTTTTTCGGCGATTTGCAGCGCGAATTCACGAACATTTGAAGATGTTGATAACTCTTAAAAACTTTGTGCGAAAACTTGAAGACCAATTGAGTTTATATTATTACACTATTATTTTCATTTAAGTGGAGTCCAGTCCTGTTATGTATCTTGAACTCTGGATATCTTGACCTGCCGGGCATTATATCTCGAACCTATTGGGATTCCCATCGACTTGCAGTGCAATATATCTGCATACTTTCCACTTGGCCTTCATCCAATCACAAATCTAAACTTGAATTCTCGCACTATGATAATGTTCAGGATTTGTTTGTGTTATTTCTAATCAATAGATAATGGGACCTGCAAAAGTATGCATATAGTTACCAGGGATAGTTAGTGCTGCTGTTTTGAGCTAGCTTCAAGCTGTAAAAGCCCTGTTAGAGTGCTCACACTAAATCCGTGAAACAAATACTACTTTTTAGCACTAAATAGTGATAATTAAACAATAGAAAACAAAGGATTCTGTATGAAATAGTGCTAATTAGTACTATTTAATGTTCACGGTTTTAGTGCGTGCACTCTATCTTGAAACTTTTCCCTGTCCCTATCTAGTAAGCTCGATATAATGGGACTCTGCTCAGGCCCGTAGCTAGGATTTTTGTTGGGGGGGTGCTAATTTACAAAAAGTGGACCAACCATATACTTTATTTTTTAAAAGTCCCATAGGACGCATAGGTAAAGATAAATTATTAAAGTAAAATTGATTTTTTTCACTTAGTTTTACGTGAAAATATCATACCAGCCAAAATCTCACTCGCTTAAAAAGCGGACCTTTTGCTCGCGTGGGCCTGCTGCTGTACTAGCTTGTTAAAAAGGGATATATACTAATCTATGTAATAACTTTTTAAAAAAACTTTAAGGATTCAGTATGTAGTATCTATATATACACAGTTGTGTATTTTTTTGAATATGTTATTGATACTTCAAAGTACGTAAGTTTCAGCTAACACAGACCTTGATGACACAGCACCATAATTTATTCCCATGAGAATAAAGAGTTTAAACTGCATATAATCTCATCCTGAAACGATTGAATAATTTTACCTGATTAAACACCTCAATATACAAACATCACTTTACAAGTTGAGGATCTATTTTTCGTCCAACAAAGATCTATTCATCTCGCACCTGGGAAAAAAGCAAACATAAATTGTTTCCAATTCTTAATAGATCGCAAGACGAGGCTGCAAGGTCAACAGAGGTTACAATGGAACGCGTGACAACACAAAACGGAGTGAAAAATCGTTACGTAAGAAATCATTTTCCGGTGCTTATAAAAAGGCCGTGTATAACTGCGTTGATTCACAAGCGAACAAGCTCAAGGGCTCTCCTGGCTGAATAAGGCAATTCAAAACAAAATGGCGAAGTTATTCATGGTGTTTGTCTCTGCTATGGTCGCTTGGTCGACGATAGAGGTTTCTTCAAGCAAAACATCGCGAGGACTAAGAGAACTACGCTCGTCCAGCATCAAGTCACCAGTCGTAATCGGTAAAGCAAGCAAATTGCTATTTATTATTCCGATGTATGTGTATAACTAATTGTAATTAGATAATTTTCAACACATTAGTGTTTTTTTCTGTCCGTAAATTTCTAAAGAAAATACCTGGACTCTGATAATTGAACTAGATGACTTCCGCTTACTCAGTGGTTGTCGCAACCACAAACAACATTATTTTTAAAGACTACACCACCCGGACGATCACACTTCACAACAAAAAAGAAAATACTCTATAATAATCGATTTGGTAAAGGCCCGAGCAAACGCGCGCAACAACACCCAACATTGTTGGATCAACATTGTTGGCGCAGTTGTTTAATGTTGGCGATTGTTTTCAAACGGTCCCAACAAGTCCCAACATGTTGGGCATTATGCAGCCGTACTTTTCTCTCGTATAACTTAACAGTTAGTTCGGCTTCACGCAGGCTAGTAAAGTAATGACGAAGTATAAGTATTGTTTAATGATTAATGTTTTCCCCTTTTAAACCCATTAGTTCCCGGTACAGGGGGTAGCCAACTGGAAGCAAAGCTCAACAAACCTTCAACACTACATTGGTACTGTCACAAAACGTCATCCACCTTCTTTACGTTGTGGTTACAGAAAAGTTCTCTTCTTCCGTGGGCCATAGATTGTTGGGTGGACAACATGAGGTAAGCCAACTCAGTGACAGGCAGACAAATGATGTTTTTGTTACTTCACCATCAGTGGCCAAGATCTCGAGGTCTCTCAAGGAAAAGTGGCTAGGCAGTTTTTAAAAGAATGTTATAGGCACAATAACATGGGATAAAACAAATGGCAAGGTTCTTTTGACAAGAATCCCTTATTATTTATGAAATAAAATAACTTTTTTGCCCTTTTTAGGCTAGTGTATGACAAAGCAACAAACACCGTGCACAATGCGCCTGGTGTAGAGACAAGAGTACCAGGATTTGGCCAAACCAATACCATAGAATACCTGGACACAAATAACCTGATCAAGTACTTTAAGCCCATGGTTGAAGCACTTGTCTCTTGGGGTTACCAGCGAGGTATATCGGTCAGAGCGGCTCCTTATGACTTCCGATACGCACCAGGTAACTATGGAGATCCACCGAAAAAGTATATTGTGCGTGAGCGTAAAACTGGCGGCAATTTGTAAACGCGACCACGTTTCATTTAGGCGAACTATGAGCAGGCGCGCCTGTCTCAGGTTAAGGCATATATAATTCTTCGGGAGCTCTAGAGCAACAAGTGACGATGGAGATCCAAAAAAAGAGTAAAATGCGCATGTGTGGCAAAATCGGCGGGAATTTGTTGACGCGCGTGTCTTGTGTATTTGTGCTTTCGCGCCAAAACGCAACGCCGTGTCGTTCGCCTACGCCAAAACTCTCGCGTTCTTTTAGTACTGATAAAATCGAAAGTAACCATCTGTTAAGCTTATATCCTTTTTTACCATTTCTAGACTCGGCAAATGGTTACTTTACAAAGCTAAGGGGTTTGATTGAAGAAACGTACAAAGCCAACGGGAACAAGCAAGTGACTCTTCTGTCACACAGTCTGGGCTGTCCATACACTCTGGTGTTTCTAAATAAACAGACTAATGAATGGAAAAATACTTATATAAAGCAATGGATTACTCTTTCAGGTAGGTGAGGAGAAAAATGGTGCTCTGTAATTTACGCGAACATTTTACATGTAGTTTTTAAACAGCACTTTACACAGGCTCCGAAATTTCGTTTGGAATATTTGACCGCGAAGTTTGATGGGATTGAAATGTAAACAAACCTTGTTGGGCTGCGAGCAAAGGGCTTGCATTTGTCCGCTTTCAATCACATTTTGTAAAAACACCGTGACATAAGCCATAGAAAACCATAATAGAGTTAGTGGGTAAGGAGACGGGGCTTTAGTCACCCTAATCTTAGCTAAAATCACCTAAATGTTCAGTCTTACCTTCTATAGTCTCGAGGGTGCTCCGCATTCATTAGGTGTGAGTTTTTAGTCCATGTCAAACGATTTGATTGGGCGGGCAACCAGCAGCAGCTCACGTGATCGGTCTGCGGCCTTCTGCTTTGGATTGTAATCCTGGGTATGTCCTCAAATATTTGTAAACCTGAGCCAATTACAGTGTATTGTCAGTTTTAATGTTTATGGAAAAAGTTGAACTATATAGACATGCACCTAGTATTTTACAAGTCAGATCCCACCTAGATCAAGTGTGTCGATCTTGTCTCTTAACAGTGTTTCCTTCATTTCTCAACAGGAATCTGGGGCGGTTCTGCGCAGCTTCTTCGTCTTTATGCTTCCGGAGATTCATTCGGCGTCCCAATAGCGAATCCGCTGACCGTTCGTGGCGAGCAGCGGTCATGTACCAGCAACAACTACATGCTACCCAGTGACGAACTGTGGTCCGCAGGTGAAGTGTTGCTGAAAACCTCCACTCGATCCTACACAGTGAAAGACTACGACGCTTTCTTCAAAGACATTGGTTATCCCGAAGGCTCTTTCATTAGACGAAATGTCCAAGGTCTTACCTCTCCGTTAGCCCAACACTCCCCTAATGTCACACTTTATTGCCTTCACGGATCCGGCGTAGATACCCCCGAGTCTTATACCTATGCGAAGGGAGATTTCCCGGATGGGACACCAAGCGTTATCAATGGCGACGGCGATGGTACTGTGAACGAGCGAAGCTTAAAGGCCTGCGGAAATTTTCGACAAATGCCTAAAATCATTCTTAAAGATTATGCTGGGGTCAACCACAATGGTATCTTGAGTAGCGACCCGGCTCACAGTTTTATAAAATCAGTGCTATTTCAGTAAAAATGCTTAAATTTGATGACATTAGCCATTAAAAGAATGAAATAACTTCTGATCTGGAAAATGTTAATTTTTGGCTAACTGTGAGGAGAGCGCAGTCTCCACGTAGTATCCTACGCAGTAACGCAGCCACTATTAGTATCGGCGTCACGCGGTGCATAAAAGTATATTTTTACTGAGCGTAGGGGGGTCTGGCTGAGATGTTTTAGTTACCCCTCCACTTCCTTCAGGTTTGCCTAAAAATTATAATTTTAAAGCAACCGAATCTTTCCCCTCCCTTCTCTCTCAAGGACCGTTTACACAGAAAATTTTTGCGGCGATTGTTTCTACCGTAAATCGCTCGTGTAAACTACCGGCGATTTGAGTTGCGATTTCCCGCACGATCTGCTGTGATTTTGTAAAAAAAAATGTTATTTCTGAGCAGCGGTTTCTGCAATGGGCATGCATACTACTTGCCTATATGGCATTTAGCTGCAACCACAGGAAGCCCATGCAAGCTTTGAGAACTGAATGTAATTTAACGAAAAAAAATTATAAATAATATATCCCTTCCCCTTTATATGATAATTTTTTAAAAAAAATCGCTAAAATGGCTCGAAATCATACTAAAGAACTAGAATGTTGTAAACAACACTTCATGTGAGTAAATATTAGCTTTTATTTATTTTAATTTTAATTTTTTTTGTTAAATTATATTCAGCTCTCAAAGCTTGTATGGGCTTCCTGTGCTGCAACGAGCAGTCCATATGAAACTCTTGCAAACTATGTGCTAGTAATGCAGCGCCGACTGCGGTCCTTGCCTCTCCCCTACCTGGGTTATCCTACTATGACCACGAATTCACGCCCCCCCCCCCGCTGCGTCAGTTATCGTTACTTCCACGTCATCGTGAGTCAATAAAAACACGATAAATGGAATACTAGAGTATTTACCGAGAAAAAAGATCATGGATTTCGATACAGCCTTAAAAGAAGTCGGCGAATTCGGTTCCTTTCAGAAGAAAATTTTCTTCATCACAAATATTTTAGCCTTTACTGTCAATTCCCAAATGTTGATTATGGTTTTCACTGCTGCTAAACCAGAATGGAGTTGTCCGAATAGTGCGACACAGTGTAACACAGACGGCTCAATATGCTCCAATGCTCACTTTACGACAAATTTTACTTCTATCTCTAGCGAATTTGGATTAATTTGTGATGAATCGTACAAAGCAGAAGTGGTTCAGTCTGTCTATATGCTTGGAACTTTGATCGCAGCACCACTGACTGGGAATCTTGGCGATACGTATGGAAGAAAGAAACTATGGATTGTCACATATACTGGCACTTGCATCTTCGCTTTTATATCAGCATTTTCAACCTCGTACCACATGTACTTGGTCTGCCGATTCTTTGTTGGATTCTTTGTTGGTGGTTGCGGATTAATAATATTCGTTTTGACAACCGAGTCTGTCGGGATAGCATATAGAGGTTGGTTAGCTTTTATGTGAATGTCCGGGGTAACTGTTATGGACCTTCAGTCAAGCGAGACTATAAACAGTGAACACGAGAATTTTAAATGAAAGCCCCCCTCCCCCCTCCCCCGAGCTTGAGATGTTTATAAAAATCTCTCTGTTTATAAACTTTTTTTGAAAAAAAGAGTTCAATGTTTTTTTCTAAAATTTTTCATTAAATTCGATTTCTTTATCATGCAATTTACACCATGGGGCAGCAAATGATGAGTCATGCACTCCTCCCTGTTTGAATATTGTACTATAATATTAAAGAACATTATCTTGTTTACACATTGGGAAAGGAGGGTTAAAAATAAAGTACTTGGTGTCTTAAGTAATGTTTAATACTCCTTCTGCTTGCTGGTTGAATCTGAAAATCCAGTCGCTTTGAATTGCCTGCAGCCCACTCCCGCCCTAGGATTGGTAACCATTGATGCCCCAAGTTGTTGAAAGCCTGTGTGAGTTCAGACAGCACAAGGTTCAAACCCTTGTACCCGACTAGGTCTCAAGTCCAGTCACAGAGGAAAAGGCTAGGGGTCAAATAATATTTCTGCTCAATATATGAGTTGAAGAAAAATATCAATTTTCATTTTAATTTTAAGGTTTTGTTGGTATTGTGCAGCAGACATTCTTTACACTGTTTCTTGTTGTTCTTGGTGGATTGGCCTACTTGATCCCAGACTGGCGTCAACTGACACTCATTACTCTCTTACCAGCAATCATCCAGGTATTTTTTTTCAAGTCAACACCAGAATCACCAAGATGGCTTGTTTCCAAGGGCAGGAACAGAGAAGCAGAAGAAGTCTTAAGCGAAGCAGCTCGAGTTAATAAAGGTCACAAAATGAACCTTGTGCTTCGCAGTAAAATTCAAGAGAAGAAAGAGGACAGCAGCAAAGGGATCATCAGCATCTTTATGCACAGGACAACATGTCTGATCACTCTAAATTTATGCCTATCATTTTTCGTTAACAGTCTTGTGTATTATGGGTTGTCACTAAATGTTAAAAATCTTGGTGGTAGCTTGCATGTTAATTTTATTCTCAGCGCCTTAGTGGAGTTCCCATCCTATGTGATTTCATTTTTCTTGATGACTTGGTTGGGGAGGCGTAAGACCATTTTTATTTTCATGATGGGGGCATCTATATCATGTTTCGCATGCATGAGGCTTCTAGAATCTCCTTCATCCACTCAATATTTAATATCAAGTGTTGCTATGTTAGGAAAATTTTTCATCAGTTCCTCATTTTCAATAATCTATGTCTATGGGTCAGAGCTCCTCCCAACAGTGGTTCGTAATTCTGGGTTAGGAGTAGCTTCTGTGGCTAACCGAATTGGTGGTATCCTATGCCCAGGTGTTGTAGCTCTGGGAGAGCACAGCAAATCCATGCCAATGTTGGTCTTTGCTGCTTGTGCTTTTGTTTCTGGAGTAGTGGGTTTAAAATTGCCTGAGACTAAGGGCCGTGCTTTGCCTGAGACATTTGAAGATGTTGATAACTCTTCAAAACTTTATGCGAAAAGTTGATGACAAATTGAGTTTATATTATTATACTATTATTATTATTATTTAAGTGGAGTCCAGTCCTGTTATATATCTTGAACTCTGGATATCTTGAACTGCCCATTATATCTCGAACCTATTGAGATTCCAATCGACTTGCATTGCAATGACCAAAAGTAATTGACTATGCTAATGATATATTTGCATACTTTCCACTTGGCCTTCATACAGTCATAAATCTAAACTTGAATTCTTGCACTACGGTAATTTGTCTAAGATGTTATTTCTGATTTTAACCTTAATTTGAAAGATGCTGGGACAAAAGTATGCATATAGTAGATTATTGGTGATCACAGCTTAGTGCTGTTGTTTAGAGCTAGCTTTGTGCTGTAAAAGCCCTGTTATTTTAAAACTTTTCCCTGTCCCTGGTCCCCAGTAGGTTTGATATAATGGGACTGCTGTACTAGCTAGTTAGTTTTGTGAGTTTCAGCGAACACAGACCTTGATGACGTGGCACCATGATTTATTCCCATGAGAATAAAGACCTGTTTAAACTGCATATAATCTCACCCTGAAACGATTGAATATTCTCAGTTACACAGGGAAAATCTATTAGTTCAAGCCAACATGGCTGTAGTCTGAGAAAGGTCAATTAGTGCTATTTTAATAAAAGCATTCACATGAAATGATAAAATAAAACATCTTTCAATTATAAATTTTTTTCGTAAGGAATAAAAGAGATCATTTTGTAACTAAGAGGGTAATTTTTCATTGGCGTTCCCTGTCTCTTCCTCTCTTCCTCTCTCTCTCAAAAAAAACAACTGAAGAATGCTTGGCTTCGCAGTCTTCTAAAGAGGGCTAATGTTTACGATAACTGAATGATATTGTGAGTCTACTTCTTCACTATAAACTACCACCAAATAAAACTGCATCCTAGAAATAAGGTCAGAGGGGGAGCTATAGGGGCTTTTAGATGGCAAAATTTGAAGAGGTTTTTGATATCCCTTTTAGTATAGTAGCTTGTTTGCACCCCAACTTTATATCGGGAGAAAATGACAAAAGCAACATAAAGCAAAATAGAGTGCAAACAATATAACCGTGAAACTTTAGTAGGGTGCTCACACTAAATCCGTGAAACAAATACTAATTTTTAGCACTAAATCGTGATAATTAAACAATAGAAAACAAAGGATTCTGTATGAAATAGAACTAAATAGTATAATTTAATGTTCACGGTTTTAGTGCGTGCACTCTAATACTAAATAGCACAATTTCATGCAAGTTCCATTGTTGTTCAATTAGCACTATTTTGTACTATTTAGTAATTAGTGTTTCACGGATTAATTGTTTGCACTCTATATACCTTCAGTTGATCTGTTTTTTCCTGACCCGCAAAAACCGCTGGCCAATATTTTATACCTACCGCTGGCTCATGCAAAATGAGTACATTTTCAGTAGGCTTTTGACCGTTACCGAGGAAACAAGAAGAACTGGAAGTTAGAAAGAGGAAAGTGTTCGATGACCTATGCTCCTATCTGGGGGGAAGGGGATGCGCTTAAGTAATTTGAAAAAGTAAGTTTGTAAATATTGAGAAAGCAATTCAAACGGAAACTAAAAATATTTTTTCCCGGACCCAGACCCTACTCATTAAGTAAAACGAAATAAGGTGAGGTCCCTGGGGTCCCTGTGGAGAAACGCTGATGTCCGTCATCCTTAAATAATCGAAGGTTTCGTAGCCTCAGTGTGTTTAAAGCCCCATTATTAGGAAAGCAACATGGGCAAATACGAACAAGAATTAACTTCGGCATGTTTTCAAGTGCCCTGGGGCGTCATTGAAGCAAAATGTTGGGGAAGCGAGTCAGGTAAACCATTCATTGGTCTACATGGATGGCTTGATAATGCCAATACCTTTGATAAACTAGCCCCATTATTGCCCAAAGACACGTATTTAGTTGTCATTGATTTCCCTGGCCACGGCAGATCGTCTCTGAGACCACCTGGGGTACCGTATACGTTCCTTGACTGGGTGATCGACGTAAAGAGAGTCATTACACAATTAAAATGGACAAGATTTTCCCTAATTGGGCACAGTATGGGGGCTGGTGTTGCAGCCTTGTATAGTGGTGTATTTCCAGATGAAATAGAAAAACTGATCTTACTGGAATACAGGGGCCCTTCTGTAGCTGAAGAGAAAGATGCGTCCTCTTTTCTAGTTGCCTTTACAAAGAATATCATCTCGAATCAGTTAAAAAACAATTTCAAAGTTTTCCCAGATGTAAAATCTGTGATGCATAAAATTCTTCAAGCAAATCCAGAGTTAACTGAAGAGTCAGCCCGAATACTTACAGAACGGAAAGTTCACGAAGTTGATGGTGTTGTTGCCTTGAGGACGGAACCTCGCTTAAGACTTGCTCGGGGAAGAGATGTATGTGGAAACTACTTAGTCCTTACCCAGTCCTTGGTGATTTCCGTCATTTCCCATATCAAATGCCCAGTTCTTGTAGTGAGAGGTTTGAAGTGCAATCCTCTGTTTCGATTTCAAGATGAATACATGAGAGAACGCTTCAACATTATGAAGAAAAGTGCAAGTTTTTATGAATATTGGGAAGTGGATGGGAATCACTGTGTTCATTTGAATAATGCTGGTATTGTTGCTGAAAAGATAAACAATTTTTTGATAAGATGTGACATTTCGAAAAGTAAACTTTAGAAACTTTTACAGAAGGCATGCAGATATATAATAGATAGATTTTTTTACCCTATAAATGTAAATTTTCTCAAAAACTCTTTCTAGATATATAATAAGAATAATATATATTTAACAAATTTACCTCAATTTGTTGTGTCTGTCCTCTTTTTGATGATACATTTTGTCAAAGTACTAGTGTGGATCCACAATCTGCATACAACTTTGACAACGTGATGACAAAATTTATGGTCAATAAGTTATAAATAATGGTCAATAAATGGTTATATATATTTGGATTTGTTGAGTGTGAAATTATGCAGACATACTCCAGATGGATATCCAAAAGGAAAAGCTGGTTTGTTGGCTTCTTACAATAAAGGATGGTTAAGATTGATGATTGAAGCAACTTGAAGTTTTTCTATCAATATACAGATGGCATACATGTAAATATGGGGGTTATGAATGGCCCCTAATTTAAACTTCCTTGTTTGTGTGACTAAGTAGTGGCATGAGAGAACTTAAGCATGCGTCCGGTAATAGCTTACTTTCAATACTGCTCCTTTATATTGGCTACCCGTCCAAACCTAACTACACTTTTTCAGGTCCTTAGGGAGTCTGAATCATGAGTGCTTTCCGTACTTACTCTGGTTTTGACATATTCCTGCCTGCTTATATAACTCAACATAACATGTCATTTCATTTATTCCGTGAATTTGATTTCAAATCCATCCTTATTTATGCCATCCCTCCCCTACGTTCTATTCTAATCACACTCTTTGCGAAAGCGGCTGTGGGGGAGACTAACACCCCCCTCGCCCTTCGTCCCCTTAAAACCCAGTCTGTTGAAGCTCCTCGGTCAACATGTAAGCGAGGCCATATGATAATCACGTGAATCAAGAGGGCGGCCATGTTGGATTCTAGTAGGAACAGTTAAAGAATTAAAGGTCAAAAATTATTGAAAAATGCTTCGAATTTGTGGACCAAAATTATCTAATTGCTGCTTTATCTTAAGCTTATGGGGTGTTATAATGTTGGTAAGGATATCTTGAGATTTAGTTCTAAGAAGCCTTTTTCTTGAGGCCTCAAAACATTTAGGGTTTGAGTTGAAGTTTCATCTCGTTGTCTTTGATAATTTATTTTCGACAGGTTCTTCTAGGAATATTCTTTCAAACAAGAAGCGTTGCTCTACTAGAAGATATATCGAAGGATTCAAAAGAAGAAGCGGCCTTCTCAAGCTCCGCAAAGTAGGCCAAAAACATTTCCTTAAATTGAAAATTTCCTTTGGTTTTGGTTTTAAATTTAAATTTTGATTTGGGTGTTTGACAAGGTATTGAGCTCATTTTTTGAATCTTTTTTATAGAAATTGTTTCATAGGAGCTGGAATTTATGGAGTTACTCTAATAATATCTATACATCAGAAATGGCTTAATGCTAGAACAGGAGATACACAGAAATTGTGAGTATAATTTATAATATAATAGTTTAGCTGACGTAGCTTACAGTATGTTAATGTACATTTTTTCTTTTGTTGTTTCTATGCCTTCTCAATATCGTTTAGGAGATTAAATTTGATTTCCTTCTGGGGGAAATCTTCAATCTGAAAGTACTTTGAAAACCAGCTTTTATTTTATTATCATTAATCAAAGCATAGAGCGTTTTCACTAACGTGAGAAGGCAGCCATAAACAATAGAAACTTTCTGCACAGTATTTGCATTAAAATAGGGTTCTATTCCCGGAGGATAGAAAATGTATTTTTTTGGTACCCCATAATGGCCGCTGTGGCGTGACGTGAAAACGCTCTATAGCCCAAGTTTTAAGAATAAATAATGTCAATCTTTCTCCCCTACCCTCCCCCCAATCTGAAAGTACTTTGAAAACCAGCTTTTATTTTGTTATCATTAATGAAAGCATAGAGCATTTTCACTCACTTGAGAAGGCAGCCATAAACAATAGAAACTTTCTGCACAGTATTTGCTTAAAAATAGGGTTCAATTCCTGGAGGATAGAAAATGTATTGTTTTGGTACCCCATAATGGCCGCTGTGGCGTGACGTGAAAACACTCTATAGCCCAAGTTTTAAGAATAAATAATAAATGTCAATCTTTCCCATCTACCCTCCCCCCTTATTTTATCTTGACTTTTAACTCCTAACTGATGGTCAAATTCGGAAGGAACAGCCAATATTTCCACAGCGTTTATTTCTAAAATACTGTACACACAAGGGTTTTTTTTGAGTAAGAGGGGGATGGGTTTCAAAATGTAATGCAGTGTTTGGCTCAAGGAAGATGAAAAAGGAATGGCCTGGACCCAGTTGTACGAAGGGTGGGCAGGGCTATCTGATGAATAAATCCTTATCTAATGGATAATAAATTATTCTTATCAAATGAATTTATCTACTAGGCAAGATTTATCTGTCGGATAACACTATCCACCCAACCAGGCTCATTTGGCCAGTTACATGTTGATCAGTCAATGTGACCAGTAATATGTCCTGCATTCTGCCATTGAGCAGCCTTAATTTTAATCCTGTTACTGGTACGAGGTGTATATATATTATATAGATAAAGAGAGCAACTAAAAAGTTTAAACAAAAGCATATGCAATTAATAAAGTAATACTAAAGTAGCTATATTGCAATATATAAAATATTATAAAATATGAATTAAAGTACCAGTTATATAATATTTTTGTAAGTTGATATTTCATAGCCTTTTTCTTTTTCTGTACAACCATTCAAAAAAAGCTTCAATGGGTCAATATTATTAAAGCTAAAAAAGTATTTCCAACTAATGAAGAAAAATAAACTTGAATGCCATTTAAGAAAAAAAAAAGAAATATTACTGATGGACATTTTCAATGTATTAAACATAACTAACTAATTCTTTCTCTTGTATGTTGCTTGTTTTCACTTTCATTTTCATAATTAGATCGACCCCAGATAGCTCCAGACTAAGGCAAAAGTATCAAAGTAATTTACAATACTTCTAAGGGCTGTCCAAAATATGATTGATAGAAGCCTATATTCAAACCCAGATTTCTGGGAGTTTGGCTAGTCATGTACATACAAGGGCCAAGGAAGGGGTGGGTCAAGGTTCGGCTACAGCCCCTGCACTGTATCTCTTTTCCCATACTTGTCTCTTATATTTTCCAATTCCTCCCTCCTCCCACCCCCCTTTCACACACACTACATGTAGATCTTGTTAGCCCCCCCCCCCTCCCAACAAGTACTTTTTAGGGTACTCTGTGGCCCATGGTATGATGAATGTTTCATGATAATTCAGTTTTGTGTAGTGCATACTACTGGCTATCAGCAGTGAAATCATAGTATTATTAAGTTAAAAAAATTGAAGTCTAAATTCATTTTCTCTACTGGTGGATGGAAGTTTTCGTAACCCAATTTATCAGGTTTACGAAAGATTCAATAAGAAATATTTTGATTTTTGGGGAGTGTGTGTTATTAGTATAAACTTATCTAAGAAATAATGTAGTACAAATTTATATTGATGACTGGGATTTACAATATACGTGCAGATTTTGTGAATTTCTGGTAAGATAGATAGTTAGTGACTTGGTAGGTTGTCAACCTACTGTACCATAAGAGGTTTTAAAGATTTCAATATTGAATTTGATTGTAGTTCTTTACCACACAGGTAATATGGTTTTCCAAGCCGTCAAATGACACTTCTACTTCTGATGGAATCTATTTAAATGAAGAAATCAATCTAATTTGGAATTATGTAGAATTATATAATCATCAACTGGTATTAATGCACATATAATGTTAGGGTCCAATTTAGAAGAATATTCATAAGTAAGCCAACGATAATGTACAATTAATATAAATACTGCACTATTAACAATTTCATTCACCAAATCATTAGGATTTAATTGCACTCAAACGTATGTAAGGACCGTCTATGAGAGAAAGATACAAATATAAGAATAGGAATTGCATGTGTTGATAGTCTAGATATAAAATCTATCATCAAACACATACTTTAAGTGAAGCACCAGTTTCAAAGATCAAACTTGTATGTTAGAGGTTCATACTTATGACTGTATAATAACCTTGGGGAATTAGGGTAGTGAATTAGTGAATCTGTTATAAAATTTGACAAAATATATATTTCAATCAGATGTTTGATTCTGAGCTATGAAGTTCAGATCAAAATGAAAATTTGGATGATATCATCCCAAAATCCTTTTTTGCTTTGCTTTATTCACCATTATTTTTGATGAAGTTTATTTTTTTATTATTTAAAATAAATGTAAGAATCATTTTCAAAAATTTCTACTCCAGAGCTGTGTTGTGTTAGTAGATAGGAGTTAGATCAGTTAGGAAAAATTAATCAGGGTTTAAATTAATATAAATTATTATATTGTTTTGAAATAAAATTGAAATGAAATTTACAGCGACTTTGCTTGATTGCTTTTATAAATGCTAAATTGAAAACAAATTAAAGTCTTCTTCAATCCCCATTAAAAAATGGGAGAACTTATCTAGTATTAAAAAAATTCAAAAGATATAAAAAATCAAAAAATAAGAAAATAATTGAAAGGGAACAAGAAAAACTCTTTGATTTAGATAAGGATTGGCTCTTAGCTATGAACTTGTCGTCCAACTCTAAAAGAAAGATTCTTAAGAGCGGGGTGACTATAGTCAACAGAGTGATCTCTAATGAATGCAACTTCTACACGCAAACTTGCTTCTTTTTATACCTCATGAATAATTAATTAGCATAATGATTATAAATTTATAAGGACATGTTAAAGATCAATAAACCACCTGTCAAAGATAAGTCAAATAATGGAATAAATAATTCATAATGCTATTTAGAACCTCTTCTTTAGTAATAAAAATGCAATATAATAAACATAGTTTTACTCTATGAATGGTACTTAAAACTTAAAACTACTTTTTTCTTTTACTTTTTTTTTTAGTTTTAAAAAACTTCTCCCTTAGTAATAAAAATGCATATGATAAACATAGTTTTACTCAATGAATGGTTGTACAGTAAAGTTTTGAACAAGAGGTCCCTCCCATGGCATAAGTCCAGTGCGTCAGCAATAAAACAAAAAACCACAAAAATAGTGGTTCTATAAAAAAGGGTGTCTACTCAAGGGTGGATCCAGGGGGGGGCAAAGGGGGGCTGAAGCCCCCCTTCAGCAGAAAAAAAACAACCCAAAACTGACGAATTAGATGCTTTTTTTATTGTTTTCCATTGTGTTGATGGAAGAAACTCAATTAGCCCACCTAAACTAAATTATTCCCCCCCCCCTAAAATTTTCGCTGGATCCACCCTTGCTACTGTTTCATTTCTTTCATTGACAGAAGCTGATTCCTTCTGTTATAATTTTTTTGCATTTGTTTGATTGTTATATTCATGAAGAGATCAGAATGAGATGTTTTACAATTCGTAAACAGTGTAAAAAGTGGGATTTTGGATGAGATATGAAATAGAACTGCTATTGTAAATTTAAATCCCAGAATGGAGCATGTTTTCAACCAATCAGAGTTTGCATACTAAGTTGTATAATAAATAATAAAGCATTTATTAAAGTTGTTCCATGGTAACATGCCATTGTTTTGCTGGTTCACAGGGTTGTGGCCTAGCACAAGTCCAAATCAAAGAATCAAGAATCATAATTACATACCTATAGCGAGCTACATCTTTCATCATTATGATGATACTCTGAATTATATTAATATTAATAATTTGAATTTTCATTCATTTGTTTTCCCAGTGCATGAATAATACTTAGTAGCCCATAGGGTATTGTACAGTTTATGTTTTAATAAGTAAACATGGAGGGCACAGTTTCTGAATTCTGATTGGCTAAATCCCGAAATGTGCATATAGATGCTCGCACCACTGCTAGACATGTTTTTGATCAGAAATTATGCCTTCTCTTGGTAGTCGTGTTCAGTTGAAATTTGGGAGAAGGTGTGTGAATTTGTGGGGCAGAGGGGTTGCAATTTTGATAGCCTTAACAAGAGTAGCTTAGAATCTAGACAGTCTCTCAGAAAATTCAAAATGTTTAACCTCTTTCAGCCTCAAGAGCATGCAAACCCCTGTTGAACTATTGATCCACCTTTACTTAATTTGTAGACACAGAAACAAATGAATCCTCTTGAAACAGAGCTTTCATTTCACTTCAATTAAAATATATACAATAATAGCAGCCAGTGTCTATGACCATTTACGATGGCAAGCTGTTGTAAAAGCCCAGACAGATTGGATACAAATATTGTATATATGTCTATTTCATGTTCTACAATTTTTTTAAAGATTGAAGTGAGTTTGACTTAGAAAATATAGGTTTAGAATAAATGAAGATGATTCCAGTTTACAGAATTCTCCTGGGTGACAGATTTATATTGTTTTTCCTTAATACTTTTTTCATAATTTGTAAAGATTATAATTATTCAGCGTAAATTAAGTTGCAATAATGATTTGAATAGTGTTGAATATCGATCAACATTAATGAAATTAAAACTGACGCACATTATCATATTAATTTCACAACAATTAATTAAAATATAGGTTTACATTGTTTGACCAAAACAATAGAGTGCTTTTAGTCTCACTGTTGAATAGGTGACGTCAACTAAATTAGATAAGTTATTTACTATTTTAGGTGACGTCACCTAAGTTTGAAGCTACAAGTAAACAGCTACTGAGATCAGGGGGAGAAACGATGATACAAATGAATTTCTATGCACTCATTCTCTGGTAAAACAACCCCCCGGATTAGCATGACCGTTATTTGGCGCGCTTTTACTATTTTAGGTGACGTCAACTAAATAGTTATCTAAGTTAGATAAATTTATCTAACTATTCAACAGTGAGACTAAAAGCACTCTAAAATGCTTTAGTAATCTTTTAATTGTTTCAAAATAACTCAATCTGTAACATTGTTTTCTCTATCTTCTTCTAGTAGTAATAGTACTTAATGTAACAAAATCAATGCATGTGCATGTGCTTCAAGATTTTTTTTTTTTGCAGTACGAAAAGACAATTTCAGAATTTAATTCAAGATTTTGTTTTCTTTTCAGTTTTGTTCCAGCATAATGAGATTAATATTGATATTATAACATTTATACAGTCAGGCAGAAGAGGTATACTAATAGTCTAGTGTGACACTTCAAAGGTTTCTTTTATAGGCGTTTACTGTGTTACAGAAAATATCTATAATTATAGAGAACTTAAGATTTGCAAAATCTACCACAGTGACGTCAGTCAACCGAAAGTGTAAAACCCCAACTGAAGTTACTTACACTTCTGGTTGATGTGCCGGTCATAAACTTTGTAAATCTTAAGGTTGTGAATAACTCCCTTACAGAGGGAGGGGGTCAGAAGAGTATATTTTGTCAGTGAGATGCTTAATTATGGTTGATGTGTCCAGAGTCATTCTCCCCATTTTTGAGGTTCGAGGTGCATTCTTGTTTAGTCTGGGTACAAATAACTTTATATATAAGGCATGGAAATTTTTTTTTTACCCAAACAGAATGCATGCTTGATACATTCTAAATAACCTTATGGGGGTATGGAAGTATATTTTCTGGAAATTCTACACTTTGTTTTTTTACATATTGTATAGCCTGCGTTCCATCCGGCCTTTTCTTTCGAATAAGTCTTTACTAAGAAAATTCCGGATGTGACGCAGGTTAACGTTGTATGGCCTGATTGATGAAGATACTCATTTCAAAGTATGTTCTTCAGTACACCTTTAATAGTGAAAACAACACTTTGCATCATGTTGTACTTGGCGTGTAATAATAGAACTTGATGCAGTCAATGAATTGTATCCCATCAAAAGAAGTAAATGTGAGACTATAGTAACATGGACATATATGAATTAAGGAACTTCACACTTTCCATTCATTCAGGCTGCAAAAAAATATTTTTTTCAATTGTTTACTTTTTTAGACATTTTTGCAGTGACAATATATTAATATGGTTGTTGCGGAATATTCTCAGCTTAAATATGTCTCATATACTGTAGAGTAGAAGCCATGTTGCTAAAGTTTTGTTAGGAGTTTTAAGATTAAAGCCAGATTGGTTGAATAGAGGGATTTTTACTAAATCCATAGAACAAACTAAAAGTGTAATAGACAAATAGACAATAAAGTAAAGAAATTAGACTAATAGCCCATTCACACCAAGGCTTAAACATGTTTTAAAGTGGTTTAACTAAACAGGTTTGGAAAACTATCTACGAACACTGCACAATATTTGGTAAAATAATTCATGTAAACTATCCTTTGTCTTGCTCTGAAAATATTTTACAAAGTTTCATTATATTGTAGCTTTCTAGTTTCTTTATTGTTTTCCTAAKGAAAACATAGTTTAACTAAACACGTTTAGGTGTGAATGGGGTATAAGTATTTCACGGTAGTAAAACCACTCTATGACAAAACATTTGTCACTAGTTTCCATTTGTTCTATCAACCAATAAATGTATGGCTTGTACAAAAGCCCTTTGTTTACTCATTCTATTGGGAACGCTTTCAAACGATGCAACCTGTGGCTAGCCTGCGTTCAGCTGGTATAACTTCTCTCAAAATAGACGGTTATTTTGAGAGAAATTATACTGGCTGAATGCAGGCTACCTGTGGCAGGAGGCCCTTATGTGGGAAATTATAAAAAAATTAAAGAAACAGTAATATTATTAGAGAGAAAGGTTAAAATAGAAAGAAAAAAATTAAAAAATTCGTCCAGTACCATAACACAGCCTAAGATACTTCAAGGCACGAAATACTGTAAACTCTTAAACCCATTACCAAAACCTTGCTAGTAAGTTTTGTTCTCACCAGCAAAGATTTCTAAGTCACATGCAATCGATCATGGGAAATAAAAAAAGTTACTTGATGCTGGTTCTAAACTTTTCAGTCCTTACATTTCTGGACTGTGGTCATACTCACAAAACTTGGCTAGTTTTTCTCAATCACTAAATACTAAATACAAAGAGTTTGCAAGAGTTCATTTCTTGCCTTGTAGAGTGACCACAGTAAATCCGTGAAACTTTAGTAATACTAAATAGCACAATTTCATGCAAATTCCATTGTTGTTCAATTAGCACTATTTTGTACTATTTAGTAATTAGTGTTTCACAGATTAATTGTTTGTGCTCTTACTACTGTAAAAGTTGACAAATAGCCTTTTCCCCGTTATCCTGTCAAGATAGTTTACTTCAATCTGCTGATAGCAATTAAAGCAGTCTGTGATAACTTATCATAGATTTTCCTTTACGAGGGGGAATTATATTTTAGATGATTTTGCTATAAAATGAAAAACTAAGGGATAGGATATGACATGATTATGGAATACAATTGTCAATATAAGTTTTTTGTGAAATAAAATAAACATCAACTCTGAAAACCAATTGCTGTGTTATTTTAAAATACTTCTAGTCCTGATCTTTATCCTTTGAAAATGACTTCCTGGTCCAATACTAAAAGTAGTTCTATAACTACAATTGTTTCAGGTTGAGGTTAAAATATTGAGAAAAAATGTTCACTTTTCACCTGGAAAATGTGTAACTATAACTAAACTATAAGCTCTACGCAATCAGCCGCTAAAAGTTATACTACATCCAAATTTTCAATCATGAGAAATAGTATATATAGAGGATATTACATGGGGGCGCGGAGATACGAATTTTATCTTCGAGTGTTCAATTGATATCTCATGAGTGAGCGCAGCGAATGAGTGAGATATCTAAATTGAACATGAGAAGATAAAATTTGTATCTCCAAGCGGCCGTGTAATGTTCTGTTTATTATATAGATATCGATGAAACTTAAAACAAAAGCTCAAAAATTCTTTATTAAAATAGCAAGCCGATTACATTACTATGTCAACAGCGATATCTTCATGTGTGAAAGATATGGTATCTTCCACTGGTGAAAGATATCAAGTTTTCGACACTAGAGAAAACCTGGTATTTCATCAATATCTAAGTAATAATCTAAATTTTATTAATATATATTTTTTGGTCTGAAATAATATTTTCTATTTTATTCTATGAATATTTGTTTCTATGAACATCTGCTGTCATTGGTTCCATTTTCTGGTAATGGTATTTTTATAAAGTTCTACAAACTCTTTAACCAACTCGTCATTGTCTCCTTTAATTTTAGCTGTGAGTTCTTTTGTTGCTCCATTGACATTTGTTTCAATTAGGAATAAGCCACCATCATCTTCCTATTTAAAGGAAAACATGGATTTTACTACAAAGACATGAGCAAGGTAGTCTGGTGTCTGAGGCTATGTTCAAGGTTGGTATAATAGCAGAAATTGGGATTCCTGTGGTAATCCTTGTTCCATGATCAAATTGGAATTTAGGAGTTCATTTTTGGGGGGAGGG